ACAAGGGAAACCTATCCACCTCGACAAACTCAACAATCTGTCTATCCTTTCAGCCATTTACTCATTCATTTCTTCAAAATTTTTTGGGAGACAACTTATAGTGAAGACTGATTCAATTAATGTATTTATTTCTGATTTAATTAATGTATTTATTTAATGTATTTATTTATTTAATTAATATATTTATTTATTTCTGTCACCCAAGCTGGAGAGCAGTGGCGAAATCTTGGCTCACTGCAACCTCTGCTTCCCGGGTTCAAGAGATTCTTGTGCCTCAGCCTCCTGAATAGCTGGGACTACAGGCATGCACCACCACACCCGGCTAATTTTTTTGTATTTTAGTAGAGACAAGGTTTCACCATGTTGCCCAGGGTGATCTTAAACTCCTGAGCTCAGGTGATCCACCCACCCTGGCCTCCCAAAGTGCTGGGATTATAGGCGTGAGCCACCCTGCCCGGCTGAAGACATTTAATTTAGATAAGTATGCATGGAAAAGTGACTTGCACACTATAAAAAATATGCTACAATCATAATATGAAGGATATTCTTAAAATTATTTAGCTTATAAAGTCAGAGTGGAAAATACCTCTATGGTACCCCAAGAATGTAGTGAACGGATATACTGATATAGCTTTTGGAACATAAATAAAAACACCTTATTTAAAACACAGTGAGACAGACTGGAGTAGAATACAGTTTTTATTGTATTTTATTATCAGAAGTCACAGTGACGCAGACTGGAGAATACACCTTTTATTATATTGTAGTATTTGCAGCAAATCTATACATTGAAAACATGTAGGTACACACATTTATATACTATATAATATATACAGTATTTGCAAGATAGGCAAACATATACATAGCATCTGTGTGACAGGGAATCAGCTGAGAAAAGATGACCTGCTTGAATGTTTGCAGGATGAGTTTTAATGAGGAGAATTGAATCATGTGGTGATGAGCATAAAAGCTATTGGATAGTAATAGTTACACAGCACACTCTTTAATGTGTCTCATCTCATTTAACCTTTGCGACCCCATGAGGTAGGTATCATAAATATTATAGATGAGCCATTAGAAAATAGATGGCTGGTCTTGCTCTTCAACCCAGGTCTTTGTTGTCAAAAACAAAGTTTTTTTTTTTTTTTTTTTTTTTTTTTTT